GACTTTGGCTCCCAAGTCGACCCAGCCTTGAGTGGGTACCAGGTACAGTACCGGGAAGTAAAGGCGGTCGGTGTTATACTAACTACATCATCCACCAAGTGCAGTTGGGTCTTTAAAATATAGGTCAATCCCTATATATGCAAAACGCCTGGAAGGTGTAGAAAAGGGTCCTTTACTTACTTACCAGTCCATAAAAGTCAAGAATCGCATGTAAATGCCCGTACAAACAATCAGCTGCATTTATAGCAGCGTGGGCTGAAGAGAAAACAGAGCCAGGAGCTGAGAGAGACCCAAACGGCTAATCACTGATCAACAACCAATTCTGTGTCATCTTTCTTAGAAACCTTTCAGCTGTATTATTTATTCAACATCCAAAACTAAACTGGAAACTTCATTCGGTGCCTCTTGTTTCGCCAAGGCTGTTCTCTTCGTCTCCTCCTCCTACTCCTCGAGCTACTGCCAGAGAAAGCAAATCTGGCTGCCACATTCAGCCATTGTTTCAGTGTGTAAGAAGTGGTGTTTTCACCCTTTAAAACAAATATCCTAAAATCTGCTGTACTCATCAACGCGAATTTTGCCTGGTGTTAGATTTCCCCATGCCCTTCATCATCATGTGCCCTGCCAACTGGCGTACGCGCTCATGTGGTTTCACGATCCCTGGTTGCCTGCAACAGCTCTCTTGATGATATCCCTCCATGCCATCGTTTCAGTCCATCCAGCATCATCTCTCTTGGTCTGCCTCTACCCTTTTTTTCCACAGATCTTTCCAGTTGTCACGATGTTCTCCAATGTCTCTCTCCACGTTATGTGGCCAAAGAACAGTCTTTGTCTCTTTCTTATTGTTGTATATAGAGATCTACTTTCATTAGCTCTATGTTCTCCATCAGATGTCATGGGAATATAATGTGGTGGTTTTCCGTTGACCTCCACAATATACCCTTACGATTTTATAATTTACAATTTTACAGGTGCTGCTGTTGTCTTACGGCTGTGCATTTCTGTGATCTTGGACTAGCATTTTGTGTACAGGAAATGACGCATGCGTGGAGACTATTCGGGTGGGTTCAGTTCACGTCAGCAGCAATGTGTAGTGATTATTTTCATATATTATTCAGCATACAGTGAATAACAGCGGTCGTGTAACTACTCACATGAGGATACTGCTGCAGATGGCCACCTTAGAGTGAAACGCAATTGAAAAGCGTGCAATCTGAAGTCGTGAAAACTTGCCGTTACCGAGTTAAGTGTAAGCATGCTGACGGCTTCACTGGAATCGGTGTCAGGTTGATTTTTTCCCACATACCGCAAAAAAAGGCACAATGAAAACTAGAGGCTTGATTACATTTTAGTTTACAATGTGCGTGTGGGTGTGTGCGCGCGCGCGGGCGTGTGTGCATATGTGTGTGTGCGTGTGCCTGCGTGTGTGTTTGTGTGTGTGTGTGTGTGTGTGTGTGTGTGTGTGTGTGTGTGTGTGTGTGTGTGAATCGTGTCCTCCTCTAGCCAGCAGAACGCTGCAGCAACCGCCAGCACCTCAATTCTTAAGATAAATGTTGTGGTATCATATGCTAGGCTCTCCTGTACCAAATATCGACCATTCGCTTTTGCTAAAAACCATATTATATATATATATATAAATATATACACACACATATATATACATATATATACATATACATACATAAATATTAATGATTTAATGTTCTAAAGTAGGCATAGACAAATATTCATGCAAGAAAACGTCATGGGAAGTAAAGGCGACCAGCAAGATGTTTACACATCTTATCCTCTCTCGCCAAATGCTGACCGATCTATAGATACGTAGCCGACCCGCCAACGGCACAAAAAAAGCCCTTAGCTACGATTCATCACCTACTATGTCCCTCGTGTGTGTTCCAGGGTCCTATTCTTCAGAGGGAGGGAGTGTTAAACCAACCGGCCCTAACAAGCATTTTGTAAGAAAACGAATTATTAGGAGTTTGGTGAAATCAGATGAGTTGGATCAAAAAGCGCAGATACTGTAGCCTAGCTGTAAACCACAACACAACGTGCCGATGGTCCAGTGTAAGAGTGAATGCAGAAGAAGAATCAAATGCCGCTATTCGCCGCAGAAATGCAAAGGTCTTCCCTTTAATAGAGCATATCGTTAAAAAAAAAATTTCATAATCCAATGCTCACTAAACTTAGAACCGTCGTAAAATGATCGCATACAAAGGAGATATCTACAGCCCAAATGTGGCTAAAAAGACAGCTTAATCATGCCACTGTCTGGTGTTGCATAAATCTAGGAACAGCTGCCGCATATTCATTAATAATAATAATGTAAAAATTACAAACAAAAGCTGGGGGGGGGGGGGGGGGGGAAGAGTGAAGGACATATTTCCACGTCTTCCTGTGTGTTGAGCATATAGGACCAGATCTACATTTTATAGACCAATCGGCACTTGGTGGGTGATGTGGTCAGCACCACGCCAGCTGTGTAAGGACTTCACAGGACTGGACC